CAGGTGTCCCTGTCCCATGGTGTCCCTGCCATCCCTGTCCCCAGGTGTCCCTGTCTCCAGGTGTCCCTGTCCCATGAGTGTCCCTGTCCCATGGTGTCCCTGCCATCCCTGTCCCCAGGTGTCCCTGTCTCCAGGTGTCCCTGTCCCATGAGTGTCCCTGTCCCATGAGTGTCCCTGCCATCCCTGTCCCCAGGTGTCCCGCGGTGCCCGGGGCTGGGCCGACGCCTTCCCCGAGGACACGGTGGCCGATGACGTTGGGGACACGCGGGGACGGCGCTTCCACCGACACCTCTCTGACGACGAGGACCTGGTGGCCTCCGGAGGTGAGGGGACACGGGGCTGGGGGTGACAGGGTCGGTGTCACTGTGTGGGGGTGCCCCCAGCACTGGGTGCCACCCTGGGTGCCACTTGCACACTGGATGGTGTGAATGTGAGTGCCACCAGGGGTTGGTGTCCCCAGGGGTGGGTGACGCTGTCCCCATTGCAGATGGCACCGGGATCTGGTGGCATCTGGTGGTGAGGTGGCACTGAGTGCTGTGCGTGGGTGGGTGCCACCAGGGTTAGGTGGCCCCATGGGGGGGTGTCACCAGGTGTGAGTGACACCCCTGGTGTCACTCACACAGTCTCCATTGTAGATGGCACCAAGGCCTGGTGGCATGGGGCAGTAACGTGACACTGGGTGCCACAGGCGGGTGCCACCAGGGGTAGGTGTCCTCGTGGGTGGGTGCCACCAGCACTGGATGCCACCCTGGGTGCCACTTGCACTGTCCCCCTCACAGATGGCACCAGGACCTGGTGGCATCGGGTGTTACGGTGGCACTGGGTGGGCGGTGTCATTGTGAGTGGGTGCCACTCGTGCTGCCCCCATCGCACGTGCCACCAAGGATTTGGTGGCAGCTGGTGGCAGGGTGGCACTGGGAGGGTAAGTGTCACTCTGAGTGGATGTCACCGTGGGTAGATGCCACCCCGGGTGCCACCATGCTGTCCCCATGGCAGATGGCACCATGGTGGCATCAGACAGTAAGATGTCACCAGGTGGGTGGGTGCCACCAAGGGTGTGTGTCCCACATGTGGGTGGCCCCTGGTGCCACCACACTGTCCCCATCGAGGATGGCACTGGGACCTGGTGGCATCTGTTGGTCAATGTGGCACAGGTGTCACCATGGGTGGGTGGGTGTCCTGTGGGTGGGCGTCACTGTTCCGGGGTGTCCCCATTTTTGGGTGTCCCCCCAGGTGGGTGTCACCATTCAAGGGTATCCCATGAGTGTCACCATTCATGGGTGTCCCATGGGTGGTCGTCACTGTTTGTGGGTGTCACTGTTCATGGGAGTCACTGTTTGTGTGTGTCCACATTCACGGGTGTCCCATGTGTCGATGGCACCACACAGGGGGTCCCTGGGTGGGTGTCACCATTCCTGGGTGTCCCCATGGGTGGGTGTCACCATTCGTGGATGTCCCCACCGATAAGTGTCACCATTCCCGGGTGTCCCCAGCGCGAGTGTCACCATCTGTAGGTGTCCCATGAGTGGGTGTCACAGTTCATGTGTGTCACTGTTTGTGGGTGTCCCCACAAGTGTCCTATGGGTGGGTGTCACCGTTCCTGGGTGTCACCACAAGTGGATGTCACTGTTTGTGGGTGTCACCGTTCGTAGGTGTTCATATGGGTGCTTGTCACCATTCCCGGGTGTCCCATGGGTGGGTGTCACCGTTTGTGGGTGTCACTGCTCATGGGAGTCACTGTTTGTGGGTGTCCCCATTCCGGGGTGTCCCATGGGTGGGTGCCACCATACATGAGTGTCCCCACCAACGGGTGTCCCCATTCCCGGGTGTCCCACGGGTGGGTGCCGCTGTTGGTGGGTGTCCCACGGGTGACTGTCACTGTACACGAGTGTCCCTGGGGGGGTGTGTCCCTGGGTGGGTGTCACTGTTCCTGGGGGGTGTCCCTGTGGCTGGGTGTCCCCCCGGGTGAGTGCCCCCCTGGCTGTGCCCTGGCAGATGGCAGTGGGGACGACAGCAGCGGAGTCCCCTGGCCCCCGGTCGTGACCTCGGCGCCCGGCAGCGGGCTGGCACCCACCGGTAAGGGGACACTGCGGGGTGGCACCTGTGCCCGGGCTGTCACCCGCTGTCACCGCGCTCAACCTCTGTCTGCTCTTCATCCTCCTCTTCCTCCTCCTCCTCCTCCTCCTCCTCGGGGGCAGTGCCCGGGCCCCGCCCCGCGCCCGCGGGGATGGTGGTGGCCGAGCCCGAGGACGACCCCCCGATCAGTAAGTGACACTTCTTGGGGACCCCCCTCTTGCTGCACTCCCACTTTCTTCCTCCTGTGCCTTTCGCTGGGGGGAGGGACCCCAAATTTTTTTTGGGGGGGGCACATTCGGGTGGGGGGGTCACAGCTGGGTGAGGGATCACAGTGGGGAGGGCACAATTTGGGGGGGCAACAGGGGGGCATTTTTTGGGGGTGCAGGTGCCACCCCCCCATTTTTGACACCCACCCCCAAATTTTTTGGCCCCCCCCCAGTTTATTTCCGGGCACTGGTGAACTTCACCCGCAGCATCGACTTCAGCTCCCGGCTGGAGGACCCGGATTCTGAGGAATTCCGGGAGATTTCGGAGGCTGTGGTGGACACGGTGAGGATGGGGGGGGGCTGAGAGGGGGGGATGGGGGTGAGTGACCCCCCAGGGACCACCCTGACCCCCCATTTGTGCCCCCAACAGCTGGAGTCGGAGTATTACAAGGTGCCCGGGGAGCAGGTGGTCAGTGTGGTCTTCATCAAGTGAGTGGGGGGGCTTTGGGGGGCTCGGAGGGTTTAGGGGGGGTCAGGGGATTGAGGGGGCTGGGGGGGGTTGGGGGAGCAAAGGGAGCTGGGGAGGTTTGGGGTGGAAGGGGAAGTGAGAGGATTGGGGGTGATGGG